ATATACACATTTATATATACATTTTCTTTTGTTGTAGTAGTTGTTGTTGTTTTTGTTTGTTTGTTTGTTTTTTGGTACCAGGAATTGAACTCGGGTCCTTGTGCTTGCAAGGCAGGCCACCGAACCACTGAGCTAAATCCCCGGCCTTACATTTTCTTTATTCTTTCATCTATTGATAGACAACAGGGTGTTTTCATATCTTGGCAATTAGGAATCATGCCACAATAAATATGGGTATGCAGGTGTCCCTACATTATACTGGCTTCAAATACTTTGAGTATGTACCAAGGAATGTTATTTTTAGTTTCCTGAGGAACTTCCATATTGATTTCCATAGAAGCTATACTAATTTAAGTTCCTATCAACAGTGTAACAGTGCTCATTTCTCATAAATGCTTCAGTATTTAATGTTTTTTGTAATCTTACTTTTTAGTATACATTTAGCTTACATTCATTATGGGGAAATGGTATATATTCATATCACATCTTAATCATTTTGACTTTCCTTCCACTCTCTGCCTTCCAATTGCCCATCTCCAAATTGCCTGGTCATCTCCACAAAGTCTACCTATCTGATTCATATCATCTCTCCTTTATTTTATTCTTTCAGTTATTTTTATTTTAAGTTTCTCATATAAGAGAAACCATGCTATATTCAACCTTCTGTGTCTGATTTATTTCACTTAGGATTATTGTCTCCAGATCCATCTATTTTCCAACAAAGGATTAATTATTTCCTTCTTTATGTCTTTATGTATACACACACATCATTTTCTTTGTTTATTCATTTGCTGATGGACATATGGATGACTTCCAAGATTTAGCAATTATGAAATGTGCTGTTGTAAACATGGGTATGCATATTATCACTGTAATATGATGTCTTTAACTCTTTTGCAAAGAGACCCAGAAAAGGTGTAGCTGGGTCAAGTTGAATTTTTATTTTTAATTTTTGAAGAATTTCCATAGTTCCTGTACTATTTTAATTTTCCACCAACTGTATGAAAGGGTTTTTTTTTTCCCAGTCACAACCTTGCCAGCCTTTGTATTATTGAGTCCTAGATGATAGCCATTCTTATTGGAGTAAAACAGAAAATCAGTTATTTTCATTTATACTTTTACTCTCTAAGGGGCAATGATGTTGAACATTTTATTCTTGTACATATTTGCGGCTCTCTGGGGGGACCCCGTCCAGCGGGGAATAGGAGGTGAGAGCCGCCTCTTATTCGTGGGCCATCAGAGGCCGATCCGATCTTGAATGTCTGTGAAGGAAAATCTTTAAGAAGTTAGAGCACATGGCCCAAGTCTGATTTCTGATCAAAGGCTCTTTATTGGCTCAGCAAAACGATTATATACTGTTATCCCAGGGGGAAGGTTCAGCAAGCTTATTGGACAGTTCAAACAAATCTTCTACCAATCACATGAGTCACTCAAGCATTTAACCATAAAGGGACAAAGCATTTATCAGCATTTTGATACCAAGATTTGTCCTTTTCCCGTTGCTTCTGCCTTTGTTCGAGGCTTTCCTCAAA